TATATTTGAAACAGATGAACAATAGAAATATTTGTTGAAATTTGAATGGCTTAAGCTAGAATGCCATGGTAGAGGGCATATTTATTTGAAGTTATAGCGGACCCATTTGCATATTTATTTTGATGATGGTATTTCACATATTTGAAATAGTTAGCATATTTGAAGTTAGAATTGACCCGTTAGCATATCAGGATTGGCTGTATTGGCTTGGATCTAGTAGTTAGAACAGGTCAAGTCTCCTCCTAAATCAAGCACCAACGAAGCTGGTGCTCCCTCTCATAAATAGGAGCACAAAATATATGTCTAAATATACATGTCTACATAGCATCGAGATCAAGATGGTTATGCTAGTATTCCTGTATAAACAGAAACGCTGAGAAAACGCAAGCATGAACAATAACTGATCCTGAACCACGCGGCAATGGTGGTCAGCGATCTCATCTCAAAAACCTTAAAAAAACTGATCATGTGCAGCAAAATATAATATATGTTTTTTCCCTCCAAACCTGGGCAGACACTGGCCCACTGAGCCTTGGACATATAATACGATTTGCCCATGCCTGTGATGGATGGAGGCCGTGCTATGGGCTTTTTTGGCCACCGATCAGCCCAACGACTGAGGGGATCGCTAGCTCGGTATGCGGAGCAGCAGCCCGAGTACGTGCGCTAGGTCATGACGCGGTGAAAACGTGACGTATCGGTGCCGGTTGTTACGACCAAATGATCTGGTCCGTTCCTGCTTCAAGTCTAACGGTTGAGGACGTCAAAACACTGTGGTGGCTCCTAGCTAGCTGAGTTATATTGTTAAGTAATTAGGAGATATCTAGTGTCTATCACAGAATAAACTTATGCTTCCCTTTCATGCTGAACCATCAAACATGACCCTGAGCAGCATGTTTATATCCTCCGCACATGTACCAACCAGGGATTCTGATTTGTGCTGAACATAGTGGAATTAGAAAAATAGCCAGTGTGCGGATAGTTTACTATTCCAGAAGAAACTTATGCTCTTGCTGTCACAGTTATTTCTGCAGGTTCTGTGTAATAGCTAAGAGTGAGAACCACATCCTATTTGATGTTGAACTATCAAACATGACTCAGAGTACATGTATATACCCTTGACTTGTTGATGTGAGGAAACACTCTGCTGTCATGAAAAACTTTCCTGTTAAAAAATTGAATGAAACCTCACTTGTGTTTCTTCTGCGCAGGCCTGCAACTTTGCATTCAAAGGCTACTTCAAGAGCTTCTTCGGCTATGACAAGGAGAAAGACAGGAAATGGAAATGGCTAGCTGAAAATGTAGCATGTGTCAGGCCTGCAGCTTTGTAGATAGATTCAATATTTTAAAGCTACCAATATTCCAGTAGTCAAATAGATACAATATGCAATAAAAATACCTTTCTATTTTGCTCCCAGAACTACAAACTAGCACAAACTGATAACTACAGTGTCAACTGCTATTAAGGACCAGCTACTGATGAACTGATGAAATCGTGTTTCTTGATTGATACCATTAAGGGCGTCAGAAGTATAGGCTATTGAACTAATAAAAATAAGTATAGGCCAGCAGATTAATAAATCACGTCTCTCTGGTCCAGCTACACCTGGCGTGCACGGCTACCAAAGGAAGATTGATAGATAGAAAGATAGAAAATGCCCAGCTTTAGGCCATGCAGCCAAGCATGCCTGGGATTCACCAAAAGCGCCCAGATTTAGGTAGAAAATGGCAGAAACCCCTAGGCGGATCTCCTCCTTGATCTTCTGGATGGCTCGCCAAAAATACGATCATCCTGTCCGAGAACATGCCAATAGAGGCTCACTTCTAAGGTATTTTGCCTGAATGAGCATAGCCCGCCCTCCCCACGCATTATCCGCCGAACCCATCGCAACATCAAGGCGACGTTCATACGCCAGGAGGCCACGATGCCCAAGCCACCTTGATCTTTGGGCCGACAGATGTCAGCTCACTTGACCATGTGATACTTTTGGTGGCTATTGGCAGCCTGCCAAAAGAATCTGGCAAGGTCCTTATCGAAGGAGCTATGGACGCCCTCCGGTAGGATATACGTCCCCATCATGTACATGGAGAGGCTTGCCAGGTTTGCACGAATGAGGGTCGATTTGCTCCCAGAATTTTTGAGTCAGCCATCGGCATCCCCAAGTAAGTGATGGGGATTGTGGTCAGTCAGCAGTTAAGGTTGTCGGCAATCCTCTGTTGCTCTTCCGTCAAGAATCCCAAGACTACGACTTCACTCTTATCAAAGTTGATCTTTAGTCCGGACAGCCTCAAAACACAGGAGCAAGAACTTAAGATTGACGATGTCGAGGGCCATCACCTCCACCATAATCATGGTGTCATCGGCATACTGGAGGTGGGTGACCCCACCGCCCGGGATCAAATGTCCAACTACGTCCGAGAGGTGTCCGGCCCTCTTATCCTTACCCAAAATACCTGCTAGCGCATCAACGCGCGAGGTTGAAGAGAAGTGGGGATATTGGGTCTCCCTGCTTTACTCCTGTGAACGTCCCAACGTCCCATAAAACGTCGTCCGAATGTCTATGCTTTAAAAATCGCCATTCCCTCTTTCCGGTGCACTTGAACCTGTCAACCCCGACTCCCCTTCGCTGGTGATGCCGCTACCGTGTCGTCCCCAGTTCCAGGTTGCTCCTGGCTCGGCGTCGTGGCGATGCCCCCTGTCCATCTCAGGTTGTGCATATTGACTGACACGGGTTGCAAATTTAGGCAAAACATGCCATTTGCAAACACGAATGCTCATGTATTCTCATTGTCATTATATTTTAAGAAGTGTTCTTTGAGCGCAACACCAGTTGTATATTTCTTGGAATAAGAAGAGAGCCAGTAAAGGAAAACAACAATCCACACACAACTTCTAAAAATGAAAAGATATAGCATTCCTATCTTCTTACGGCCATCAAACATGTTCAATTCATTTTCTTGAGATCTGTGGAATAGTGATAGCATACTTGAATCCACATTCCCAGTATTTGAGCAAGAAGTAGAATCTTAGTCCTTTCTAATTTAAAAGTTGGGAATTTGATATCGACTAAATCAAGAAACTCGATTTCACTATGATATGACCACAAAACCCTTTGATGCAACATTTCTTGTTTCCAGAAGATCTCGGATGGTTTTTGAAGCTTCCATGGTCATGTAAAAGAAAGAAACCCTTTCTATAAGTCATGAAGACGTGGACCAAAAGACTAAGAAACTGCATATCTATTGATTGACTGAAAAACGCAAGCTGAGTAACTTGCTTGAATGATCGCTCCGGCTCAGGGTCGTCTGATCTTCGGGATGCAGGATAGGGGATCGCTTGCCAACTGTTAGTTAGGACAAGTGAAAACCCACGCTTGGTGAAGGCGAAGTTCAGTTCGGAGATCTAGCAATTCCTTATGCCGTGTATCCTCGATTGATGCAGCCTCAGATGCTTCAATTGTAGATTTGAGTATTGAGCGAAAGGTTACACCACCTATAGGTTCTGCATTACAGGACAATCCTACTCCACTAGTACCAATAGGCGGCATAGGGGGAAAAGCACAACACCTAGGAATAGGAATCAACAACACAAAAACTTTCGGAGAAAATTACCCAGCAAGAAAATGTGTGCGTGTGGGCGCAACGAATTTCGCTCCCGTGCGCTCATCCCTTGCTTGTTCTTTCGGACGCATTCTTTCCCTCTCTTTGAAGTAGTTTTCTCAGCTCCATGAGTCAAACAAAATAAGGCGAAAGGCCCACTACTTCTTCAGTCATGCTTGCATTTAGTTCACGTTAGCTACATTCGTTTTAATATAGAAAGATGGGAAAGGCTAGGTTAGCAGAAGACTATGCTTGTGCCACAATGTTATTGCTTCGGAGAAGCATTTCTTCAATGAATCTTACTCAGTAGTCAGTACAGTATTCATAAGGGACCTGTATCTAAATATTCTATTCTAACATTCCTATTTTGGTTGGAAGTTTCTCAAATGAAAGAGCACAACCCTTTCCATCACTTCTCTACATACCGGCATTCGGAGCTAGGAGCAGAGAAGAGAAGTCACTCCGAAGAATTGTAAAATCCTGGCGCTCAAACATTGCGTTCTACACTTTACTTTTGTTTTGTATCTTTGAAACAGGAGCGAAAAGAAATCAGCTCATCCACTGCTAACTAAAAATAGGGTTCAAAAAAAAAACCTGACCGGAGGCTAGTCAAAAGATCACGTTGCCTACAGTCTGCTGTAGTGACTCGGCGCATTAACCATGTGTTTTGTCATGCTGATGTCATACAGTAATTGTTTTCCTTTTCTTATTTATGTTTTGGAAAAAAACTAAGTACATATATTAGATAAAATGTTTTAGTTAAGATGTGATATTTTCAAAATTTTCACGCGTTAGAAAATATGCGACAGTTAAAAAAATGTTATGCAATGTAAAAAAGATGTTCATCTAATTAAAACAAATGCAGCTTACATATTAAAAAAAGTCTTCATGTTTTCCAAAAATATGTTTGTGACATTAAAAATGTTTATATAATGTAAAAAAAATGTTCACATAGTTTACAAAAAAAATTGCGACCGTTCACAAAAAATGTTTCATTGCTTAACATGTATTTGATTTATTTTCAAAAAATATATTTGAAAAATGTTAATCATGTATTTAAAAAATGTTAAACGCACATAAAAATATTTTAGAGATATATGAAAAATGTACAGTGTGTATGAAAAAATAGACATCAAAACATAAATTAGAAAAATGTTAATCATGTATTTGAAAAATGTTAAACGTGTATTTTTTTTCTTCAAAATTATGCCCCTTACCGAAAGCAAAGGAATCAGGTAATTTGTTCCAAAGAATTACAAACATGTAGTCATTACAAAAAACATTAATCTGACAATTGTAATGGGTACTTATGGATATGTATAACGAGTAATTCTTGCTTCGGGGTGAAACATAAAAACAAATTGTTCAATATTGACAAGCTCATGTTACAAAGAAAAAAACTAGAGACAAACATATGCATCACGCTTCCTCCGTAAGGTTGTTTTAGGCTGCCTTTGAGCACAAGAAGGGACATGGTAAATGAACTCAGTATAAGGGGGTATCTGTGATTCCCATGTCACTAAATCGAACTCACCCTTGGGACGAAGGGTAGGATCTACAACGAGGTCTCCAATCCTTATCTTCGGTAGTTTCCTTTCGAAAGCCTCGGCTTCAGTTCGAGGAGGCATAAGGAGTAGCGGAGCAGCTGGCGCAGGTAGAAAGTTGGTGAAATCTACTGGATATCGTATTCTAACACGGACCGACAAATGCTCACCAAACATCGATAAGTTGGCCTTTGTCACATTCTTGTATCTGTTCAATATGCAAAGCCAGAATTGAAGGCTTAGATCCCTCCTCAATATATTGGCAATTGAATATGCTCCCACAAATGACCCACCCAATAACTTGATGAACTCTCCTATCAACAGTGTTAGATTTGGGTGGTCCTTTGCGTGTGCACTGCCAAATGCTAGTGTCTTGAAGAAGTAGTTGTACTCCTCATCTTGTAATTTACTTAGGTAAATTGCCTTCACGGTACCATATCTTGTCAAACTTTCCATCCTACTTATGATTATAACCTTACTTTCTACTCTTATGGATGTCACCGCTCGGTAGAAAGATTTCCAATCCTCATCATCTACATCTGAAACAAGTGTGACAACAACCAATATTCTCCCTGATGTGCACCTTTCAGTGTCTATTTTAGTGAAGTTGGCTCCACTGAGGTACAGAACAGAAGAGAAGTAACTACGCACCTTCTCATCATTCCATACATCTGTTACCAGAGTTTTCTTCCCAACTAGGCTTCCACCAACGATTGGAAGCACGGGTGGAGAACCAAGAGAGTTATGCTGTAACAAGAAATTGATAACTTGTTGCTTCTCCGTTCGACGACTAAACATGAAGTTGTCAACATAAAGATAGGTGTCATAGGGTCTGCGAACCATTCGTTCGCATCCGCTCAAAAGTATAACAAACTCAGTGACATTAGAAATGGCAGTTTCTAAATTTAACAAGGCACCTTGTAGGTCACAACTGCTGTCAACTTTGTGATTCGATACACCAGCGTTGGCACGAAAGCGCTTCAGCGGAGTGCCAATATATGACACTAATGATCTATCCATCACTTCCTCAGACCTCTCTTTGACTAGTTGTTTGCACTTGAAGGTGTCTACCACGTGATAACCCTGGTACATAGCCCTAGCTAGCATCTTAAGTTGTATAAGCATACCAGAGTTGGTGATGTACCGCCCATCCGCCTCCTCGACAACTGTGTGAGCTCTCAGCAGGAGTTGCTGCAGCCTCTCCATATGCTGCTCCTCCAAGCGTGCAGGGACCCAATACATATTTACCAAAAAGGAGAAAAATCTGCTAACAAGATCACCTGCAGCCGCAGACAGAACCGCTTCCATCCCGATAATGCTAGCTAGGTTGAGATTGAAGGGGATGAACAAGGAAATTGTTTTGGTTTTCGCCTTGTATAAGAGGAAACAGTTTTGGCTTTCACCTTGTAGAGATTAGGTTCTGAGCTATGGTCTTCTTTATATGGACGCCATGGCATTGCCGTGTAGCGTGAACGACCAACTGAGTGCGTTCTTGGTGACCAGTCCACGTCAATGTGGAACTTCCTGGCAAGCATAATTAAGGTGGAAGTAGTTCACACGACCGATGCATCTTGATATTTTAGGTAGTCAAGTCATTGTGGAATTGTGAGCACATCGTTCACTTTTAGTGACAGGTCTACACAAATGTGTCGTCCAAGCTATTGTGGAATTGTGAGCACATGATGAGCTTTTGTAGTTACAGGTCTGTTGGAAATAATCTTGCCTAGTCCGAGTCCTAGATTCATCAATTAGTAGTTGGGTCTAAATATTGCCGTGTGGATTAGTTTAGGAAAGCAAGTTGTGTACGACTATTAAGTCGAATAGCTAGTTGGCTACATAGGACTAATTTGTAGTACGTGAGTTAGCCGAGTTTGAGTTGGTACTTGTACCATGTGTTCTTCTCTGAGTGGTGCTAGGATGCCAAGTTCCTCTATGTATTTTGCCTTACTTTCGTATATGTGCGTGCTGTATATTCGTTGTATGCATCCTAAAAATATGGAGGCTGGTGTATGTATATAAGCACAATTGTCGTGTGAGTAAGGCCTTGTTTGGATATGCAGGATTAGCCGAACTAGTTTTCTATGAACTCGTGTAAGAGCATCTCCAATAGAGGAAGCATATGTAAAAATACCTAACTTTTGCATCTCCACGGGCCAAAAAACTGTCTCGAACAGATGAAGTAGATGCAAAAAAGAAAAACATCTCCGCCTCCCGGAGATGCAAACTAAAACACCTCACAGTGCAAATTTTCATCTCCGGGTGTTGGAGATATAAAAAGAGCAGGCGCATGCCAACTACCAACCGCCTGTCAATTCACTCCTCCCCCCATCCCCCATCTTCATCCTCCCACCGCCCGCGCCGCCCTGCCGCTCGCGCGCCGCCCAAATCAGCGCGTCGCCGCCTTCCGCCGCAGATCCACCTCCGCCTCGCCGTCTGCCTGGTTTCGGCCGCCGCCCGCCGTTGTACGGCCCGTCGCTGCTCTGCTCTACCCCGACCCCGCCGGGCCGCCCCGCTCCGTCGTGCTCCGCCCCGACCCCACCAGGACACACCGGCTACGCCCCGACCCCTCCCTGACCTTGCCGCCTCGTCCCCGACTCTAATCGCCGCCCCGGCTCCGCCCCGACACCGCCTCGATCCCGCCATCTCCACCCCGACTCGGCCGCCGCCGCCCGACCCCGCCTCTCTCCGGCCGCCGCCCCGACCACGGCCCGCCCTCGGTTTCTTTGCCATGGCGCCGAAGAAGACCACGAGGAGCAAGACGAGGTTCTTCGACGTGATGGCGAAGCCCTCCGGGAAGTTCGGAGTCAAGTTCTCTGATGCCGGCCGCCGCTTTTGGCTCGGCATGTACCCTACCGTCCACGAGGCCACACGTGCCTATGACGTGGCGGTGTGGCGTGTCGGAAGGCCGAGGACGGACTTGAACTCCCCGGAGATCGAGACCCAGGCGGCTGATGCTCATGCCGCAGTGCATCCGGATGGAGTAGATTCCGGCGAAGAAGAAGCCGGCGGTTGTCGTTGGTCCCAGTGAGAGCGACGAGGCGACGATGGCGAGGTTTGCGCGGGAGCATCCGGAGTACGTCCAGGCTGAGCAGGAGTACTTCTGGAAGCGTGACGCCGAGGAGAAGAAGAAGAAGGAGGTAAAGATGGAGGACGAGGCTGGCCCCTCGACGGTGATCCCCATCAAGTCGTCGGAGGAGGACTGGGTCGGGATGAGTCGGAGGAGGAGGACGAGGGGTGCGACTACCCAGACACGGACGAGTCCAGGGCACAGTTCCGCAGCTCCGACGATGATGAGTAGTTTCATCTAGTACTAGTTGAATTATGTATGAAGTTTTATGTTTGAACTATGTTGAAATGAAGTAGTAGTTGGAAGTTTTCAGCATTTTACATCTCTACTTTGCATCTTCTGTTGCAGTTGTTTTTTTTACATATCCAATTTGCATCTTCTGTTGGAGTTGGCACTTTTTTGGAGATGCAAAAAGCAATTTTTGGAGATGTAAACTTTTACATATCTTGTATATATCTTCAAAATTTGCATCATCTGTTGTTGGAGATGCTCTAACCACCTACGTAATCCCTTCTAATCCTATTATAATCCCTGCTTTTCCTATCCACCAAGGCGGTACTAGTTTGGCATGTGGCTCAGTTGCTCATGCCCCTTTGTAGAGGCACCCCTGGGGCACCCCTGTAATGCTGTATAAGACATCATTATCACACTAGTAGAAAAAGGACCTAATGTGAGACACATTAGTCCCGGTTTGATTTTGGCCCGGTACTAATGGTACCATTTGTGCCGGTTCGAACGGCTATGCATTAATGCCGATTCGTTTTGAACCTTTAGTACCGGTTCGTGCCATGAACCGGTACTAAAGGGGTGGTGGCAGGCTGGCGTCAGGCCGGGGCCCGTGATCACCTTTAGTACCGCTTCGTGCCACGAACCGGTACTAAAGGGGTTTAACCTATAGTACCGGTTCGTGGCACAAACCGGTACCAAAGGGCAATTTTCAAACTCTACCCCCCCTCCCCCCGCGCGCGCGTGTATCACTATTTCAGTTTTGAAAAATACAAAAGAAAATGATAAAAAATTCAAAAAATAAAATTCTTCGAGATGTAGTTATATTACTACATCTACTAGTTAGGAAAATTAAAAAACTTAAATTTGGACATGTTTTGCAAAAAGTGTAGGGAAAATGTAAAACGGCTATAACTTTTGCATACGATGTCGGAAAAAACGTATAATATATCAAAAAATTCAGCACAAAAATCTGCATCCGATTTTGACCGCCTGCGGCCTGTTTGCAATTTTTTAGAACCCTCAAATTCCAAAAGGAGAAAAAGATATGCTCAAATTTAAGTTTTTTTAATTTTGGTTAAATCTGGTCAAACTATGATCAAACTACTTATTCAAGAAGTATTAATGTTACTACATACTTATTCAAAAATATTAGTGTTACTAAATAATGATTTCAATTTTTTGAATTTTGGTCAAATCTGGTCAAAGTATGGTCAAACTGCGGTCAAACTTATTCAAGAAATATTAGTATTACTAAATAATTACTGTTTTTTAGAATAATAGTTTCAAACTCAAACGGTGAAATGTGTGACCTAATGCTCAAGCTAAACTGCTGAGGGTTAATAGGATTTACAGCTTACATTTATTAGGAAAACAACAAGTGCAAACTTGAAAAGTAGGGGGAATAGAACTCCGAAGTTAAGCGTGCTCAGGCTGGGGGAGTGAGAGGATGGGTGACCGGTCGGGAAGTTAGACGATTTGAAATGAGTGATCCACACTTGAGTAATTAAGAGGGATGATTAGAGACTAAATCATCAAAAAATTCAGAAAATTGAAAATAAAAAAAATCAATTTTTTTTCCAAAATTTTCAAAAAAAAAACCTTTAGTACCGGTTGGTAACACCAACCGGTACTAAAGATCCCCCATACCACGGCGCGAGCTCACGCACGTGGTGGGCCTTTAGTGGCGGTTCGTGCCGAACCGGTACTAAAGGGGGGGGGGCTTTAGTCCCCACTCTTTAGTGCCGGTTGCAGAACCGGCGCTGAAGGCCCTTATGAACCGGTATTAAAGCTTCATTTTCTACTAGTGTCAATAAAGGTACCCAAATGTTATGTGCCACATGTGTGGCACGAATTACTTCGGTTTTGAGTTTTTTATAACTAAAGTTGCCGTCTGAAAAGAAAAAAAGAAAAAAAAGCTGAAACTTGCCAACCGAAAAGAAGTTGCCATACTTGACAACTGAAGTTACCATCCTCGCGTCTGCCATGTTCGAAGTTGCTATGTGTTCGTGCCACACGTGTAACACTTATCAGGGTACTAAAGATAACACACAGTACACATTTACATCTCTGTCAATTCTCTCTCTACATTGCCATGGGGAGTTGGGGTCGAGCACCTAAGGTCCTGCCGCCATCTTCTCGCAGGGGCCCACGCCGGAGAGCGATGCCGCCTCCAGGGTTTGGGGAGTGGCCCGGCCACATGGGAGTGGCTGTGGAGCGCCGGCCGAGGGTCACAAACGATGGCTGAGGAGCGCGTGTGTCGCCGTGCATCATTCGGCATCGGGTCCAGGCTCGCGGTGCTGGCCACTTGGGGTCGGTCCTCGAGAGCGGCCGTTGGTCGGGGCTGCCTCCGGCTCACGAGTAGCCCGCGAGCACCTTGACAAAATGCCTCCAGATCGGCGAGTCCAAAGCCTCAATATTTTTGTTCCACCAGTCCTCAAGAGTACAAAAAACTGGGGCCAAGCTTGCGATGATCAAAGGGGCAGCCAGCAACGATACCCCAAAGGCCCAAACGCCCTGGACAAAAAGGCAGCCCCGAGAGAGTTTTTTTTTTTTGAAGAAAAATATTCAGTGCGAGATGCTCATTTGTTTCAAAGTCAGTGTGGCACGATCCGTGGTTAGTGCTTTGGGATATATGAGAACTGAAGCAAAACAAACAACTTGTAATTCTGCTCAACTTTGGCCTCCCAAAGCTTGTGCTTCTCGAAAAAGGCTGGACGCACCTTCAAATTGCGCCTTATATGCGATCCCACCGGCCGCCTCGTCGCCCGGCCAGGCGCTTGCGGTGCACACCGCCGCCACCCCGTCCGTCTCTTCCACCGCGGCGTCAACCGTGGTCGCCGCGCCCCCTGCACCCGTGCCGGTTGCCCCTTCGACTGTCTCCACGGTGGTCGCACCTTAGCCAGTCTCTTCGATGGGATCGCAGCCGCCGCCGCCGTTTCACTTCGGCCATCTCATCACCATCAAGTTGTCGTCGGACAACTACATCTTCTGGCGCGCGCAGGTCCTTCCGCTCCTTGGGAGTCATTACCTGCTTGGCTATGTCGACGGCTCTCTCCCTTGCCCTCCTGCCCTGGTGGACAGCGTGCACGGTCCGGTCTATAATCAGGCTCACCGTGTTTGGACAGGGCAGGACCAGGCGAACCTCTCCTCCATCCAGGGATCGCTCTCTCCGGCCGTTGCCGGTCTTGTTGTCTTCGCCAAGACGTCCCATGAGGCGTGGACCATTCTTGAGCGCTCGTTTGCAGCACAGTCGCAGGCTCGTGTCTCTGCGCTCCATCGTCAATTTGGGGAGTGTCAGAAGCTTGACTCCACTGCCACTGAGTTCTACAACAAGGTCAAGGGCCTCGCCGACACGTTGGCCTCCATTGGACAGCCCCTCATCGACTCCGAGTTCAACTCGTTTATTGTCAATGGTCTTGATGAGGAGTATGATGCCTTAGTCGAGATCATCAACGAGCGGGGCAACTCGACACCCATGCTGGCACACGAGGTCTTTTCCCGCCTCCTTCTCACTGAGCAACGGGTCGAGACGCGCCGCTCCAGGGGCAACGGCTCCCTCTTGGCCAACGCCGCCACCAAGGGTGGCCGCTCTTCTTCATCATCCCGGGCTCCTTCGGGGCTGCCACCACCGCTCGCCTCGGCCCCCCCTCCTACTGCGACATTACCGGGGGCTGGCGGTCAGCGTGTGTGTCAGCTTTGTGGCCGCGATGGGCACTGGGCCTCCAAGTGTCACAAGCGCTTCCAGCGGAGTTTTCTTGGTCTTGGCAATGACGGCAAGGATACACGTAACTTTGCCCGTCAGGCCGCCATGGCTGATCGTCTGGCGCCGCAGAAGCAACAGGGACACACTCAGTCCTACTCCATCGATCCACACTGGTACATGGACTCTGGGGCGACAGAGCACCTGACAAGCGAGATGGGGAAGCTTCACACTCGTGAACCCTATCATGGCCCCGACAAGATCCACACCACCAATGGAGCAGGTATGCACATCTCTCATATTGGTCAAGCATCGCTTCTCACTAGACATGCCAATAGGAGTCTTCAGCTTTGCAATGTTCTTCGGTTCCATCTGTGACACGTAATCTTCTTTCAGTTCCTAAACTCACACGTGATAATAATGTGCTTTGTGAATTTCACCCTTTTGATCTTTTTATTAAGGATCGGGGCACGAGGGACATTCTTCTTAGTGGGCGGCTCTGCCAGGGCCTCTATCGTCTGGAGCATCCTGGCGTCGCTCGCGTTTTCAGTGGAGTTCGGGTATCTCCGTCACAGTGGCATGCTCGTCTTGGTCACCCGACCACACCTATTGTCCGGCATGTTTTGCGTCCTCATGAGCTTCCTAGTGTGTCTAGCAATAAAGATGTAGCAGTGTGTGATGCTTGTCAGCAGGGGAAGAGTCATCAACTTCCTTTTTCGGAGTCCAGTCGTGAGGTGAAACATCCTTTAGAACTTGTGTTTTCAGATGTATGGGGTCCTGCTCAGACTTCTGTCAGTGGTCATAATTATTATATCAGTTTCGATGATGCTTACAGTCGCTTTACCTGGCTTTATCTTATAAAACGTAAATCTGATGTGTTCGACATTTTTGTTCAGTTCCAAAAACATGTTGAACGCCTTCTCAAGCACAAAATTGTTCATGTTCAGTCGGACTAGGGCGGCGAGTATCGCAACCTCAACTCCTTTTTTCAGTCGCTTGGGATCGCTCACCGTTTAGCATGTCCACATACACATCAGCAGAATGGTTCAGTAGAACGTAAGCATCGTCACATTGTTGAAGCTGGTCTTACTCTTTTGGCCCATGCATCTGTTCCGTTTCGGTTTTGGAGTGATGCTTTCACCACTGCATGTTTTCTCATCAATCGTACTCCCACTCGTGTTTTGAACATGAAGACTCCCATTGAAGTTCTCCTTAATGAACAACCGGACTACACCTTTCTTAAGGTGTTTGGGTGTGCTTGCTGGCCCCATCTCCGTCCATATAACAAGCGCAAGCTCGAATTTCGTTCCAAG